CACGAGTGAAAAATGGCGGGGGGAAAGCAGGAAAAAGTGGTGCAGTCTGAAATGGCAAACCGCTTCAGATCCAGCTCTTTACCAGAAGGGGAAAGCCATGTGTGAAATGGCAGCCCTATACCGGTTCACTTCAAAACAGATCATTACTCACGAGTGAATAATGGCGGGGGGAAAGCAGGAAAAAGTGGTGCAGTCTGAAATGGCAAACCGCTTCAGATCCAGCTCTTTACCAGAAGGGGAAAGCCATGTGTGAAATGGCAGCCCTATACCGGTTCACTTCAAAACAGATCATTACTGGCTTGAAACCAGGTAAAACTGGGTAATGTGACATTCCCCACACACACTAGCAGCCAGGTGGGAGCTGGCAACCCGAGGGGGAAACGATGCCTAATCTCTCCTCCATTGCTCTGTGTCTCCCCATGCCATCGATTTTTTTCTTGGCTAGGCCCCGAGACTGGCCGGGAGAAATATACCATCTTGGGGGAGGTGGGCCAAACATAGACATCGTGCCACTAGTCTACACCATGCGCCACAGATCCAGGCTGGCCCAGGGATTCCAGCTTCCAGGTGCGACCCGGGGGATCCCCTGGAATTATAGCTCATCTCCAGACTACAGAGGTCAGTTCCCCTGGAGACAATGGCGGCTTTGGAGGGTGGGCTCTGTGGCATCGCACCCCACTGAGGTCCCTGTCCTCCCCAGGCTCCATCCCCAAATCTCTAGGACAGTGGTGGCGAAAAAATTGGTGGGCGCATGGGGGGGGCATAAGGGATCCTCGCCTAGGGTGCAAAATAAGCTGGAGCCAGCCCTGCGTGTCACTAGTCTACACCACGCGCCACAGATCCAGGCTGGCCCAGGGATGCCAGCTTCCAGGTGCGACCTGGGGGATCCCCTGGAATTACAGCTCATCTCCAGACTACAGAGGTCAGTTCCCCTGGAGACAATGGCGGCTTTGGAGTGTGGGCTCTGTGGCATCGTACCCCACTGAGGTCCCTGTCCTCCCCAGGCTCCATCCCCAAATCTCTAGGAGAACTGGCCCCTGTAACTCTGAAGATCAGCGGTAATGCTGGGAGAATGCCAGGCTCCATTTTAAGGTTGTAGTGTTTACTTGTTGAATGAATGACTTCACTTATACCTCTCGCCTTCCTCCCTCACGGGTGTCCAAAGCGGCTTACGTTGTTCTTCCCTCTTCAATTTTCTCCTCACAGCTACCCTATGAGTCGGGTTACCAGCTCTGGGATGAGAAATGCCTTCGATGGGGTCTAATGCCACAGAGTCCACCTTCCAAAGCGGCCATTTTCTCCAGGGCAGGGCCAGCCACAGCTTATTTTGCACTCTAGGCGAGGATCCCTTCGCGCCCCCCCCAGTCAGAGCCAGCAGGGGGCTGTTGGCGGGGGGTGAGTGGAGTTTGGCGCCCCTCGTCAGGGCACCTGGAGAAGAGGCTGACCAGTGGGGTGCTCACAAGCCGTCACTCCCCCGGCCCCACTGCTGCTGCTGCTCCTGCTGCAGCTGCCAGTCCCTGGCCACGAGGAAGAGGAGGAGGAGAAGCGCTCCATTGGGAAGCCGAGGGGGCAGGCAGGGAGACGTTAGCCGGCCAAAGAGGTGGTGGGCAGCGGCAGGGGTCACCCGGCTGTGGAAATGCAGGTCTTTAGGTGGG